TCCTTTTGTCCCCCCCCCCCCCCAGTCTATCTATCAATCGTGGAGGCTCAGCATCACATGTGGGTGGTCTGCATGCAAATACATCCTGCCTGGGAATTCCCACTCCTCCAGACTGACACCCACCCGCCATGTTTCATCCAGAAACGTTGAATGGATGAAGCCCCGGGAGACCCACCTGGAAGAAAGCGATAACAGAATACTCGTGAGACTTGATGAACTCGTCTGCCTTGGCGGCCGTTTCAATGACGGTGGTGGAGGGCTCCATCCTCCTCAGCATCCAATTGACGATTCCGTCTGCGTCTCTCCTGCCTAGGAGGAAAGAGAGCAGGAAATGCATGGTGCAGTGCTGGAGTCCTGTGATCAGTTCCCATCAGGGACATGGGGGGGGGGGGTCCCCTTGTTATTGTCTGACTGGGATAGAGATATTAAATGCACTAATCTATATTCTTCTATAGGATACTCAGAGGATAAGAAAAGTGATATCCGGGAACACAGCCGATCTTCCTAAATCATCAGTTTGAATTATTCTGCCAAATTCTTTCTTAAATACTAAAATCTGTCCAAAACACACATTCAGATGATGAAGATCCTCAATTAAATAAAGATAATGATTCATAATCCTCATGTGTTACCTCCATGGAGGTCCTTTTCCATTTCTCCTAGCCTTTCATTTTTCCTCTTCTTCTTCCTTCCTCCCTTCCTCCATTCATGTTCCTTCCTTCCTTCCTTCTGTTCCCTTACTTCCTTTACTTTCCTTTGTCTTCCCTCCTTCCTTCCCTTCTTTCTTTTGTCTGTCTGTATATCTATCTATCTATCTATCTATCTATCTATCTATCTATCTCTCAGTTGTCTAACCTGCCAAAGGGTTTGTATTCCTGTCCAGCCATTCCTGAAATTTACACAGCTCTTGTCTCTGCAGCAGTTAACCCGTTCCTGCCCATGATTCAAGCCCAAATTTAAATAACGCCCTTTTGCCATGAGAATGTTATAATTAACCTTCCAGCACAGAATTTGGAATGCGCAGGTGTGCGTGCCCCTGGTTTTCAGACCCCGTTGTTAAACAGACAAACCAGTCACAGAGGTATTGTCTAGCTAATCTTGGTCTGGACATTTAAAACTCCTACTGTGCCACAATAGGAGTTTTAAATACTCATTCACACCAATAATCACATTTGCAGGCTCCATTCACATGAATAGTGGCATTTGCGGGCTCCATTCACATCAATAATAACATTTGCAGGCTCCATTCACATCAATAGTCGCATTTGCGGGCTCCATTCACATGAATGGTCACATTTGCGGGCTCCATTCACATCAATAATCACATTTGCAGGCTCCATTCACATCAATAGTCGCATTTGCAGGCTCCATTCACATCAATAGTCGCATTTGCAGGCTTCATTCACATCAATAGTCGCATTTGCAGGCTCCATTCACATGAATAGTCGCATTTGCAGGCTCTATTCACATCAATAATAACATTTGAAGGCTCCATTCACATCAATAATAACATTTGAAGGCTCCATTCACATCAATAGTCGCATTTGCAGGCTTCATTCACATCAAAAGTCGCATTTGCAGGCTTCATTCACATCAATAGTCGCATTTGCAGGCTCCATTCACATGAATAGTCGCATTTGCAGGCTTCATTCACATGAATAGTCGCATTTGCAGGCTCTATTCACATCAATAGTCACATTTGCAGGCTTCATTCACATCAATAGTCGCATTTGCAGGCTCCATTCACATGAATAGTCGCATTTGCAGGCTCCATTCACATCAATAGACGCATTTGCAGGCTTCATTCACATCAATAGTCACATTTGCAGGCTTCATTCACATCAATAGTCGCATTTGCAGGCTCCATTCACATTAATAGTCGCGTTTGCAGGCTCCATTCACATCAATAATCACATTTGCAGGCTCCATTCACATCAATAGTCGCATTTGCAGGCTTCATTCACATCAATAGTCGCATTTGCAGGCTTCATTCACATCAATAGTCGCATTTGCTGGCTCCATTCACATCAATAGTCGCATTTGGCAGATAATACTGCCTGCTGAAAACATACAGCATCATGGCAGCAGCAATGTGTCCAGTGCGGTGCTAACATATCAACGGGTTGGCCGCGGAGGGGTAAAAACGTGAATCAACAGCCTGTTCTTACCGCCCCTTTGGCCGCCCGTGTGAATGAGGCCTAAAAGATGACAATAACGGAACCTAGGATCACTTAGGCCGAATATCCTGAAAAGACGACGACCATACCGCGTCGCAGTACTATAATGCGTTACAGTTATAATGTTACCTCCAAAGTCGATGCGACTAGTTCTGTTTCCGCCCTTGAAGAACAGGAGTGTCGGGTAGCCCTTCACGCCAAACTCTTCGCCCAATGCACTTTCCACCGTGGCGTCCACTTTGGCCAGCCGGGCCTCTGATGTCTGGTCCTTAAGGGTCTCCGCCGCCTTGCTGTACTTGGGGGCGAGTTCCTGGCAGTGTCCACACCATGGTGCATCTGCAATTGATAAAACATAGATGTTTACATGTAGCGCTTTGGGGGAGGCGCTACTGCCGCTGCGGCGACAGTGAGGTGTGACGTCTCCATTGGTGAATAGGGACGAGGGATAAAGTCTGCGCTGTTGACGAAATGGACTCTGCCGCGGAAGTTAAACATTGGAATTCATATATATAACGTGTGTCTATGACTCCTGCACAACCACATTATATGGGAGGAGCTTAGAGCAGAGGAAAGATCTGACGGCTGTTGTCGCCTACATGGGACCTGGCAGGCTCTCGGAGATCAAGATCTTCCATCATTGGAATGTCACTGCTGGGAAAACATACACCTGAGGCCGGAGATGTGACCTTCATAGAACGTCGTCACCTGGCATCTTCCCACACAGTCAATGAACACTTCCTCTCTCCAACCAAAAAGACTGAAGATTTAAAGCTTGGCCTAAAGAAGAACTCCGTCCGGAGAGGCCTGCTTCTATATTTGGTGATCTGTTCAGACCTATTTATAGAGGAACCTCAATCCCCAACCCCAGAATTTTTTTAATCCCCCCTTACCTTGTTCACTTGGTTACCCTGAAGTGATATACTCAGATGTCCACCATGTCCAGGGCTGTCCTTCTCCCCCTGCTCACCAAATCCTGGGCCACCAACGTTATCAGGGGGCCAGCAGTCCCTCCTTGGTTCTGGAAACCGGGCCCCCTGATGACGCATCATGGGTAGAACATCATGGGGGTGATTGAGAGAACCAGCAAGAGAAAGCCCTGATGATGCACAAAGGTGCGTTCACCATAAAGCACCCCGAAGCCTCCTGAGATACTGACATCATGCATCCCAGGAGGCTTCGGGGTGCTCTATGGCGCATTTGCTGCTACACGGGCGAATGGGATGTAATTCTCACAAGGAAGTGCTGGGAGGGGTCCTGAGAAAATAAAGAATTGGGGGAAGGGGGATTTAAATGGAAGAGAGAAGGAGGGGGGGGGCTAAGGA